ACATTTTGATTTGGATTCTGGATATTCTTAAGATTGTATCTCACTGTTCACCTTTTTTTTCGTTTCTTTTAAAATCCTGAGAATTTTATTTAAATGTCTCAAAATCCTTAAATAAAAATTGTAGAATTCTAAACCCTAGACATTTTTGATTCAAAAATGTAGAACTTTGGTCCCTTGAGATTTTTATTTGGGATTCCCAGATATTTAAAATTCTGTCTTGGTTTTCAATATTTTCTTTTTAATCAAGATGCTGAACTTTGGTCCCCTAAGGTTACAGTTTTGTTTTATAACATTTAACTTTTATATATTTTTTAGACTTTTGACAATTTTATCTAAATATGTCAAAATTTTTTATTATTAAATATAGAACTTTGGCTCCTTGACATTTTGATTTGGATTCTGGATATTCTTAAGATTGTATCTCACTGTTCACCTTTTTTCCGTTTCTTTTAAAATCTTGAGAATTTTATTTAAATATCTAAAAATCCTTAAATAAAAAATGTAGAATTTTAAACCCTAGACATTTTTTATTCAAAAATGTAGAACTTTGGTCCCTTGAAATTTTTATTTGGGATCCCCAGATATTTAAATTTCTGTCTTGATTCTCAATATTTTTTTTTTAATCAAGATGCTGAACTTTGGTTCCTTAATGTTACAGTTTTATTTTATAACTTTTAACTTTTGTATATTTTTTAGAATTTTGACAATTTTATCTAAATATGTCAAAATTTTTTATTAATAAATGTAGAACTTTGGCTCCTTGACATTTTGATTTGGATTCTGGATATTCTTAAGATTGTATCTCACTGTTCACCTTTTTTCCGTTTCTTTTAAAATCTTGAGAATTTTATTTCAATATCTCAAAATCCTTAAATAAAAAATGTAGAATTTTAAACACTAGACATGTTTTGATTAAAAAATGTAGAACTTTGGGCCCTTGAGATTTTTATTTGGGATCCCCAGATATTTAAAATTCTGTCTTGATTTTCAATATTTTTTTTTAAATCAAGATGCTAAACTTTGGACCCTTAAGGTTACAGTTTTGTTTCATAACTTTTAACTTTTATATATTTTTTAGAATTTTGACAATTTTATCTAAATATGTCAAAATTTTTTATTATTAAATGTAGAACTTTGGCTCCTTGACATTTTGATTTGGATTCTGGATATTCTTAAGATTGTATCTCACTGTTCACCTTTTTTTCGTTTCTTTTAAAATCTTGAGAATTTTATTTAAATATCTCAAAATCCTTAAATAAAAATTGTAGAATTCTAAACCCTAGACATTTTTGATTCAAAAATGTAGAACTTTGGTCCCTTGAGATTTTTATTTGGGATTCCCAGATATTTAAAATTCTGTCTTGGTTTTCAATATTTTTTTTTTAATCAAGATGCTGAACTTTGGTCCCCTAAGGTTACAGTTTTGTTTTATAACATTTAACTTTTATATATTTTTTAGACTTTTGACAATTTTATCTAAATATGTCAAAATTTTTTATTATTAAATATAGAACTTTGGCTCCTTGACATTTTGATTTGGATTCTGGATATTCTTAAGATTGTATCTCACTGTTCACCTTTTTTTTTCGTTTCTTTTAAAATCCTGAGATTTTTTTTTAAATGTCTCAAAATCCTTAAATAAAAAATGTAGAATTTTAAACCCCAGACATTTTTGATTCAAAAATGTAGAACTTTGGTCCCTTGAGATTTTTATTTGTGATCTCCAGATATTTAAAATTCTGTCTTGATTTTCAATATTTTTTTTAAATCAAGATGCTAAACTTTAGACCCTTAAGGTTACAGTTTTGTTTCATAACTTTTAACTTTTATATATTTTTTAGAATTTTGACAATTTTATCTAAATATGTCAAAATTTTTTATTATTAAATGTAGAACTTTGGCTCCTTGACATTTTGATTTGGATTCTGGATATTCTTTAGACTGTATCTCACTGTTCACCTTTTTTTTGGTTTCTTTTAAAATCTTGAGAATTTTATTTAAATATCTCAAAATCCTTAAATAAAAATTGTAGAATTTTAAACCCTAGACATTTTTGAATCAAAAATGTAGAACTTTGGTCCCTTGAGATTTTTATTTGGGATTCCCAGATATTTAAAATTCTGTCTTGATTTTCAATATTTTTTTTTAAATCAAGATGCTGAACTTTGGTCCCTTAAGGTTACAGTTTTGTTTTATAACTTTTAACTTTTATATATTTTTTAGAATTTTGACAATTTTATCTAAATACGTCAAATTTTTTATTAATAAATGTAGAACATTGGCTCCTTGACATTTTGATTTGGATTCTGGATGTTCTTAAGATTGTATCTCACTGTTCACCTTTTTTTTTCGTTTCTTTTAAAATCCTGAGAATTTTATTTAAATGTCTCAAAATCCTTAAATAAAAAATGTAGAATTTTAAACCCCAGACATTTTTGATTCAAAAATGTAGAACTTTGGTCCCTTGAGATTTTTGTTTGGGATCCCCAGATATTTAAAATTCTGTCTTGATTATTTTCAATATTTTTTTTAAATCAAGATGCTAAACTTTGGACCCTTAAGGTTACAGTTTTGTTTTATAACTTTTAACTTTTGTATATTTTTTAGAATTTTGACAATTTTATCTAAATATGTCAAAATTTTTTATTATTAAATGTAGAACTTTGGCTCCTTGACATTTTGATTTGGATTCTGGATATTCTTAAGATTGTATCTCACTGTTCACCTTTTTTTCGTTTCTTTTAAAATCTTGAGAATTTTATTTAAATATCTCAAAATCCTTAAATAAAAATTGTAGAATTTTAAACCCCAGACATTTTTGATTCAAAAATGTAGAACTTTGGTCCCTTGAGATTTTTATTTGGGATCCCCAGATATTTAAAATTCTGTCTTGATTATTTTCAATATTTTTTTTAAATCAAGATGCTAAACTTTGGACCCTTAAGGTTACAGTTTTGTTTTATAACATTTAACTTTTATATATTTTTTAGACTTTTGACAATTTTATCTAAATATGTCAAAATTTTTTATTATTAAATATAGAACTTTGGCTCCTTGACATTTTGATTTGGATTCTGGATATTCTTAAGATTGTATCTCACTGTTCACCTTTTTTTTTCGTTTCTTTTAAAATCCTCAGAATTTTATTTAAATGTCTCAAAATCCTTAAATAAAAAATGTAGAATTTTAAACCCCAGACATTTTTGATTCAAAAATGTAGAACTTTGGTCCCTTGAGATTTTTATTTGGGATTCCCAGATATTTAAAATTCTGTCTTGGTTTTCAATATTTTTTTTTAAATCAAGATGCTGAACTTTGGTCCCCTAAGGTTACAGTTTTGTTTTATAACATTTAACTTTTATATATTTTTTAGACTTTTGACAATTTTATGTAAATATGTCAAAATTTTTTATTATTAAATATAGAACTTTGGCTCCTTGACATTTTGATTTGGATTCTGGATATTCTTAAGATTGTATCTCACTGTTCACCTTTTTTTTTCGTTTCTTTTAAAATCCTGAGAATTTTATTTAAATGTCTCAAAATCCTTAAATAAAAAATGTAGAATTTTAGACCCCAGACATTTTTGATTCAAAAATGTAGAACTTTGGTCCCTTGAGGTTTTTATTTGGGATCCCCAGATATTTAAAATTCTGTTTTGATTTTCAATATTTTTTTTTAAATCAAGATGCTGAACTTTGGTCCCTTAATGTTACAGTTTTGTTTTATAACTTTTAACTTTTATATATTTTTTAGAATTTTGACAGTTTTATCTAAATACGTCAAAACTTTCTATTATTAAATGTAGAACTTTGGCTCCTTGACATTTTGATTTGGATTCTAGATATTCTTAAGATTGTATCTCACTGTTCACCTTTTTTTTGTTTCTTTTAAAATCTTGAGAAATTTATTTAAATATCTCAAAATCCTTAAATAAAAAATGTAGAATTTTTTCCTTCAATAGTTTTTCAAGTATTTCAACTAAGAGTTTTTTTTTTTAAATTGTGAATGAAATTCTGAGTGTCCTGACAGTTCAAGACGTTTTGAAGGAAAGAGGAAAAAGTCAAAATTTGAAAAAAATGTATCAAAGAACAATGGCAATTTATTAGTTCCATAAATAAGATAAATAATGTAATTGGCTTTAGAAGCTTTAATTTTTAAAATATCTTTTTTTGTTAATTTATTATCTGAAAATCTGTTTCAACGTTCACGTCTTAAGCCAAAATTCTGATAAATTTACAAAAATTCAATATTAAGCTTTTGAATTAGTTGCAAACATTTTAGTTCGTTAACTTAGAGACCTTAAATTATTACCTTAACGTTTGAAAAAAAAGTCAAAAATTCAAAACGTTACACCTGGACACTTCAAAAATATTAAAAACAAAAATTATCCAAACACAGTCTGAGTTTTTTTCGTGTTTTTAATTTGCTGTTCAAAGTCCAATTTTTTTCTCAGAAATGTATAATTTTTTTAACGCAAAATTTACAAACACAATCTCCAACGTAAATAAAACCCGACTTGTTGCTATTTTCTCAACCATTATCACAATCAGTTTCGAGACCTCCTCCCACAGAAACAAACCGAATCTTCGAATCTCGCAGCAAAGTTCAGCTAGGAGTAAATTTTGGCGCCCTTTCAATCAAAACGAAATTAAACAATAACACAAATCTATTTTTAAAGCTCTATCTTCATATGTGGTGTCAACGAGCAGATAACTCTGTATTTACAATTTTGTCACTCACTTTCACATCTGCGTGATTTACAATCAACCTTTTTTCGTCCATCGAACTCTACCAAACCCCACGTTTCCATTCCGCCCCAGTCCGTCCCTGCCCAGTCCCCATCACCAATCACCGAAGTGACGGAATTGAAACAATTTTATCAGCATGCCACTTAAAAAAACTCATTATCGCGCAGTTGACACCGACACGTGTTTGTATACAGTGTACCCCGTGTAGGGGAGACCCGACAAAGTCGCTTCATCGGTTCGTTGTTGCAGATCCAAGACTGAGGCATAGTTGGCGTGGGCACGACATCCTCCACTTCATGTTCTCCGACAGCATAACGAAGTATCACGTGAGCAACGCCACGCTGTTCGTGTACGTGAAAGGTGCAGAGCGGCGCCCTCTACCGGATGTTCTCATCGAGGTGTTCAAGGTTTACAAAGCTCCGGACCATCCGGACACTCCGGGGCTGTACAGGATGGTGAGCAAGAAGGTGACGCAGCCGTTCGGGAGGGGAGATTGGGTCAAGTTGGACCTCACCATCACGGTGTCGGAGTGGTTCAAGAACCCGAGGGAGAATTACGGGTTCGTGGTGAACGGGACGGCGAACGGGAAGAAGGTGGTGGTGACGGATACGAGTTTGGACGACGGTAGTAAGGTGAGTTGGTGCGTTCGAGAAACCGAGCCTAAGAAAGTATTGTAATGTAAAGTACGAAGAAATAGGTCTACCGTTTCCGTCCGTCTGTCTGTCTGTCTGTCTGCCGTATGTCCGCTTTTATTAGACAGATAATCTTCGGAACTACTGGATCGATTATTGTCAAATCGTTTCCTTGCAAAAATGTTGATGACGTCATCACAAAATTTTTCAATGGAAAAAGACAACTTTTACATTTACTTTAAGATTACATATATATCTTTATTTTGACTTATAAGAGTGATAATAATTTTGCGTTTTTTATTTTTCTTCGATTTCTTAACTTATTCATTTCAAAATATTTAGTTTCTTCAATTTTTCTATTTGCAATTTTTCAATTTTGCTATTTTTCTATATTACAATTTTTCATTTTGCAGATGCGGAATTTTTAATTGTCAGACTTTTCAATTTTTTGTTTCTCCATTTTTTGTAGTTCTAGATTTTATAATTTTTTGTTTTTTAATTTTTGATTTTTCAATTAGAGTTTTGCAATTTCTCCTGTGTTTTGATATAAAAAGTTGAAAAAACTGAAAAATGGAAAAACTAAAAATCGAAAACTAAAAAATAAAAAAAATTGAAATGTCGAAAAAATTGTAAATTGAGAAAATTAAAAATAGAAAAAACTTACTGAATCGAAAAATTGGAAAGAAGAAAAAACGAATCGAGTCGAAGAAATTGGAAAACCCAAAAATTGTACAATTGAAAAACTACAGAATCTTCAAAAATTGAAAGATTAAAAATTCAAGGATTAAAAAATGAAGGATTTGAGGATTGAAAATTGAAGGATTGAAAATTGAAGAATTTAAAAATTGGAGAATTGAAAATTGAAGGATTAAAAATTGAAGGATTGAAAATTGGAGGATTGAAAATTGAAGGAATGCAAATTGAAGGGTTAAACATTAAAAATTGAGGGATTAAAATTAAACGGATTAAAAATTGAAGGATAAAAAATTGAAGAATGAAAAGTTGAAGCATTAAAAGTTAAAGCATTGAAAATTGAAGGGTTGAAAATTGAAAGATTGAAAATTCAAGGATTAAAAAATTGAAAGATTAAAAATTGAGGGATTAAAATTGAAGGATTCAAAAATTCAAGGATTAAAAGTGGAAGGATTAAAAATTAAAAAATTAAAAATTGAAAGATTAAAAATTGAAGGATTAAAAGTTGAAGGATTGAAAATCGAAGGATTGAAAGTTGAAAGTTGAAGACTGAAGGATTGAAAACTGAAGGATTAACAATTGAAGGATTAAAATTGAAAAATTTTAAATCAAAGGATTAAAAATTGAAAAACTAAAAATTGAAAGATTAAAAGCTGAAGGATTGAAAATTCAGGGATTGAAAATTGAAGGATTAAAAATTGAAGGATTAAAATTGAAGGTTTAAAAATGGGCGGATTAAAAATTCAAGCATTAAAAGTGGAAGGGTTAAAAATTGAAAAATTCAAATTTGAAAGATCAAAAATTGAAGGATTAAGAACTGAAGGATTAAAAGTTGAAGCATTAAAAGTTGAAGCATTAAAAGTTAAAGCGTTGAAAATTGAAGAATTGGAAATTGAGAGATTAAAAATTGAAGGATTAAAAGTTGAAGCATTGAAAATTGAAGGATTTAAAATTGAAGGATTGAAAATCGAAGGATTGAAGGTTAAAGGATTGAAGACTGAAGGATTGAAAATTGAAGGATTAAAATTGAAGAATTTAAAATCGAAGGATTAAAAATTGAAGAACTAAAAATTGAAAGATTAAAAGCTGAAGGATTAAAAATTCAGGGATTGAAAATTGAAGGATTAAAATTGAAGGTTTAAAAATGGGCGGATTAAAAATTCAAGGATTAAAAGTGGAAGGATTAAAAATTGAAAGATTAAAATTTGAAAGATCAAAAATTGAAGGATTAAGAACTGAAGGATTAAAAGTTGAAGCATTAAAAGTTAAAGCGTTGAAAATTGAAGGATTGGAAATTGAAAGATTAAAAATTGAAGGATTAAAATCGAACGATTAAAAAATTCAAGGATTAAAAGTGGAAGGACTAAAAATTCAAAAATTAAAAATTGAAAGATTAAAAACTAAAGGATTAAAAATTGAAGGATTAAAAGTTGAAGCATTGAAAACTGAAGGATTGAAAATTGAAGGATTGATAATCGAAGGATTGAAGGTTGAAGGATTAAAGATTGAAGGATTGAAAACTGAAGGATTAAAAATTGAAGGATTAAAATTAAAGAATTTAAAATCGAAGGATTAAAAATTGAAGAACTAAAAATTGAAAGATTAAAAGCTGAAGGATTAAAAATTCAGGGATTGAAAATTGAAGGATTAAAAATTGAAGGATTAAAATTGAAGGTTTAAAAATGGGCGGATTAAAAAATTCAAAGATTAAAAGTGGAAGGATTAAAAATTGAAAAATTAAAATTTGAAATATCAAAAATTGAAGGATTAAGAACTGAAGGATTAAAAGTTAAAGCGTTGAAAATTGAAGAATTGGAAATTGAAAGATTAAAAATTGAGGGATTAAAATCGAAGGATTAAAAAATTCAAGGATTAAAAGTGGAAGGACTAAAAATTCAAAAATTAAAAATTGAAAGATTAAAAACTAAAGGATTAAAAATTGAAAAATTAAAAGCTGAAGGATTAAAAATTCAGGGATTAAAAATTGAAGTATTAAAATTGAAGGATTAAAAATTGAAGGATTAAAATTGAAGGTTTAAAAATTGACGGATTAAAAATTGACGGATTAAAAATTCAAGGAATAAAAGTGGAAGGATTAAAAATTGAAAAATTAAAATTTGAAAGATCAAAAATTGACGGATTGAAAAATTGAAGGATTAAAAATTGAAGGATTAAAATTGAAGGTTTAAAAATTGACAGATTAAAAATTCAAGGATTAAAAGTGGAAGGATTAAAAAGTGAAAAATTAAAATTCGAAACATCAAAAATTGAAGGATTAAGAATTGAAGGTTTAAAAATTGACAGATTAAAAATTCAAGGATTAAAAGTGGAAGGATTAAAAATTGAGAAATTAAAATTTGAAAGATCAAAAATTGAAGGATCAAGAATCGAAGGATTAAAAATTGAAGGATTAAAAGTTGAAGCATTGAAAATTGAAGGATTGAAGATTGAAGGATTGAAAACTGAAAGATTAAAAATTGAAAGACGAAAAGCTGAAGGATTAAAAGTTGAAAGGTTTATAAAAATTGAAAAATTAAAAATTGAGAAATTAAAAATTGAAAGATTGAAAATTAAAGAATTAAAAATTGAAGGATTCAAAAGCTGAAGCATTGAAAATTGAAGGATTAAAAATTGGAGGATTAAAGTTGGAGAATTGAAAGTTGAAGAATTGAAAATTGTAGGATTAAAAATTGAATAATTGAAAATTCAAGGGTTAAAATTTAAAGCATTACAAATTGAAGGACTAAAAGTTGAAGGATTAAAAATTGGAGGATCAAAACTTGAAGAATTAAAAGTTGAAAGATTAAAAATTGAAAGACTGAAAATGAAGGATTAAAAATTGAAAAATTGAAAATTGAAGGATTAAAAATTGAAGGACTAAAAGTTGAATGATTAAAACTTGAAAGATCAAAAATTGAATGATTGAAAATCGAAGGATTAAAAATTGAATGATTGAAAATCGAAGCATTGAAAATGGGAGGATTGAAAATTGAAGAATTGAAGATTGGAGAATAGAAAATTGAAGGATTAAAAATTGGAGAAGTGAAAATTGAAGGATAAAAAATTGAAAAATTCAAGAAAATTGGAACATTGAAAATCAAAATACTGAAATAGTAAAGAAAATAAACAACCGAAACGAAAAATTGAAGAAATGAAAAATTAAAAAATATAAAAATTAAAACATCCAAAAGTTGGAAAATCGACGAAATAAAAAAATGAAAAATTGAAAAGTTGCCATTTGAAAAATTGCAGAAACCAAAAATTTAAAAAATTGAAATTGGATAAAGAGAAAATTGTAAAATAGAAACATTTAAAAATCGAAAAATTGTTAAAATAAAAAAATAAACCGAAGCCAATGAAAAATTAAAGAATCGAAAAATTGAAAAATTTTAAATTAGAAAAACAAAAAATTATAAAATCCAAACACTGAAAAATCGAAAAATTGTAAAAATAAAGAAAGTAAGAAACGCAAAAATCAAATTATCGGGAATTTGAAAATTTAAAAATTGAAATCTCCAGAAGTTTTAAATTTAAAAATGGGCAAATCTAAAAATTGAAAAAATAAAATAAAAGAAAAATCGCAAATCGAAAAAATTGAGAAACAAAATATTGGGAAAACTGAAATTGAAAAAAATATATAAAGTCGAAACACTGAAAAATAGAATAATTGAAAAAAATAAAGAAAATAAAAACTAGAGAAAGCCAGATCGAAACAGTGCAAAATCTAAAAATTGAAAAAAATCTAAATTTGGAAAATTAAAAAACCAAAGAAAATTCAAGTCAAAAAAACCTGCGGGAGTGTTATTTACGCCACAGGTGTTTACTTTATAGAAGTTATTAGAACACAAAAATCGCAAATTTTTGTATAATTTTTCGAAGCCAGATTTATTTTGCTGCACTTCATGGGCGGCGAAATTTCAGTCGAAATAACCTTCGCCAGTTTTTTAGGTGCAGTGTGCAGTGTCCAAGAATGTGGAAAAATGAGGTTTCTAATCACAACATTGTCGCTATCAGCCTATGTTTATTTGATTTATCTGTCGCAGCACTAAAGTATGATCTATTAATACCCTGCATGAGTTATTACAGCCGCGGTAATTATTCTCTATTTAAGTTGAATCGCGTTCCATAAATTTCACTAACTATTATGTAACTAGATAGCGAGTGGACAAACACGGTGATAAGTCACCGAAATTTCTACTCAGTGTAGGATTTATGGATTTCTCAAGTTCACTTGTGTAAATTATACCTTTGAACTTTGACAAAATAATTGATTTCGATGATAATTTATAATTAGGCTTTTTGAATTA